ACACACAGAATCATGGGGTCTCGTGTCACGGTGGGGACCTAAATTGTGGTCCCCACGGGTACAAAAGTTTATAAATCATACAGAATTAGTTTTTTTTAAAAAGTAAAAATGCAGAAAGTTTCCTGTAAGGGGTAGGATTAGGTGTACGGAGGTCTTACGGGTTTGGAACGACATGAGAGTGAGTAATTAATTTTCATTTTTTGGTGAACTATCCCTTTAAGCCTCATTAAAAAAAAATGCAACTTGACCCCAACTAATTAATTAATTACAGACTTATCTCGAATCTCCCTTTTCTTTCAAAAATACTAGAAAAGGTAGTATCATCACAACTATGTTCCTTTTTTAGAGAAAAAATTATATCTGTGAGGATTTCCAGTCAGGATTTAGACCGTATCATAGTACTGAGACTGCTCTCATTATAGTCGATATAAAAAACTGGATGACGAGTAATTTCTTACTGCTAAATTCTGAAAAAACAGAGGTGTTAATTATCAGACCTAAAGCCTCCGCATGTAATAACCTAGAACACTGTCCAACACTCGATGGCTGCTCTGTCAATTCTTCGTCATCAGTCAGGAACCTAGGTGTGCTATTTGATAGCAATCTCTCCTTTGACAGCCACTAGTCCAAAATGCTGCTAGAGTTCTTACTAGAACCAGGAAGTATGGCCATATTAGCCCGGTTCTGTCAACACTGCACTGGCTCCCTATTAAACATCGTATAGATTTTTAATTTTTGCTTATTACTTATAAAACCCTGAATGGTTTAGCACCTCAGTATTTGAACGAGCTCTTGTTACATTATAGTCCTCCACGTCAGCAGCGCTCTCAAAACTCTGGCAATTTGATAATACTTAGAATATTAAAATCAACTGCGGGTGGCAGATCCTTTTCCTCCAGTCCGTATCCAGCCCAGATGGTGGATCAGCACCTAGAGAGGACTTCTACAGCCCTGAATGTCAGCAGAGACCAGGACAACTAGATGAGCCCCAGAGACAGATCCCCAGTGAAGACCTTGTCTCCTAGACGGCCACCGGGACAAGACCACAGGAACCAGATAAGTCCTCTGCACAATCTGACTTTGCTGCAAGTACTATATAAATAATGGTGACTTGACTTTTCTTGTGTGTGTTCCACTCACTGTTCATCATACGGAGAGTCAGACACCTGCAGCACCGACGCCTGGAAATCCTGAATCACCTCCTGTAAGAGCAACAGTCAGCGATCACGCAACACTCACGTCACACACACGTGTGTTTCACATGTTCTTCCAGACTCTTACGTTGCACATGTACGTGTGCCAGGACTTGGTGACGGGAGGGAGTTTGTCCTTCTTGGTCCAGAGCGGCGGAGCTCCTTCCCTCACGGGCTCCTGACGGACACACACACACAGACTGAGAGACTGAACACCACACACACTGAGGAGAATCGCAAGAGACACGCTACCTTAGAAGCGATCATGTACGGAGGAACCGTGTCGATGTTCATCTCCTGAAACAGCTCTCGACACTGCATGGAGATGAAATCACCGGCCAGAGGAGACTTGACGATCCCTGAACACAAGAACACACACATCTGCACTACTGCTGGTCTGAGAGCTAGAAACACACACACACACACACACACACACACACACACACTGATGATAAACCCATACTATGATCGCTCTGTAAACTGCAATCAATGACCCTAATCAATCAGCTGCTGAAAAGAGTCAGCAGCTGATTGGTTTGTGTGTGTGTGTGTGTGTGTGTGTGTGTTGCTTCAGCAAAGTGAGCAGCACTATCAGTTATTGATTGTTGAGGTTGTGGACTTTACTATACTCATAGAATTAGAATGACTGATAAAACTTTATAGTTTTAGTTATAGTTATCATTGTAGTAATTATTATAGTTATAGCTGTGGTGTGAACTTTGCTATTCTAGTAGAATTAGGATGATTATAATGTTATAGTTACAGTTATCATTATAGTTGTTCATCTATTCTGACACACTATTTTCCTAATTAATGCTGTTCAGTTGCTTTGACACAATCTGTATTGTTAAAAGCGCTATGTAAATAAAGGTGACTTGACTTGACTTGACTAGTGTTCATTGTCTCTAAAAGCACTTAAAAAGTATGTTCTAAGAACAAGAATGTTTTAAGAAAACGTTATTTCTGAACATTTAAACATCCGTTTTCTCTTTTTTTTTATTTTTTATGTGTGAATGTTGAAGGAACATTCCATTTTATCAGTGCAAAAATTATGGGAACATTACTTTTGAACGTTCTCTAAATGTTCAAATAAACGATACAAGATGACACTGATTGTGCATGTTTGAACCATTTACACAGTTTTGAGGTGGAAGCTCCGAAGCCCCGATCTGAATCCAATGATTTGCGTTACGCTCTTTGAAGTCAGATTTGAGACTCACTGATTTTTCAGTCAGTGAAAAAAGATTGATGGAGAAACAAGTAAAGCTGAGCTGCTTTAGTCCAGTAAGTGTTCATCTGGAGATATTACTAAAGTTATTCTGACGAGATTTGACAGCAGAAAGACACTGAAGCTGCACGTTTCTACAATTACACTAAAAGAGCTTTGACTTGATTAAAATATCAACAGAAGGCATGTAATAGATTGTGTGAAACAGGTTTATCAGCAAAGTTTTGGTCATGTTGATCATTTAGAGTCCTTAGATGATGACCATGTCTCTGACTAATGCTCTATTTACCTTGCTGCAGGACGTACCCATCATGCACTGGGATGGCAGTGGTGTGCGTGGCTCCGCTGTCCAGCACGAGGCCCGTGGCTCGACCGTTAGCAAAGCTGCAGTCGATCAGGTTAAGGTGACGTACAAACATCATGACATCATCAGCCTGTCTTTAACACTTGAGGGAACTCAGCCTGTCTGGATTCTGATTGCCTGATGTTCCCGAGTGGCACTTTCTGATTGGATACGCAGTGAGCACGGCGGTCTTGCACAGGAAGAAGGCGGGGATGTTGTAATGCTCGAATATGAGTTCTGTTAGCTTTTCTCTCTTCGCCCGTGAGTTCCACTGTCACGAGAGAAACATTGTAACATCACTTCACCCTCCATCCAAGATCAGGATGAGTGTGTTTCTTCATCAGGTTTGGAGAAATGTAGCACTGCATCAGTGTCTCAGCAATGGATGCTCTGCAGTGAATGGGTGCCGTCAGAATCCAAACAGCTGATAAAAACATCACAATAATCCACAAGTAATCCACAGCACTCCAGTCCATCAGTTAACATCTGGAGAAGACAAAAGCTGAAACAAATCCAGCATTAAGATGCTTTTAACTAAAATACCAGAGAGTCCATAATCCATAATAACTCTTCCTGCAGTGAAAAGGTGTTCTGGTCTGAATCAGGAGAGAAATCTGCACAGATCAAGCAGCGTTTAAACAGCTCTAAACACATATGTGGCTGGATTTTGATGTGAGAGACATCAGGAGATGCACTTTTTCACTGGAGGAAGCATTATTATGGATTATGCACTCAATGTATTTGAGTTATTCTGACGGCACCCATTCACTGCAGAGCATCCATTGCTGAGACACTGATGCAGTGCTACATTTCTACAAACCTGATGAAGAGACAAACTCATCCTAATCTTGGATTCCTCTAAGAGTGTTGATGTACTCACAGGAGCTTCAGACATCAGAACAGGGTGTAAACTGGGCTCCGATTTGATATGTTTGCTGTAGATGTGGTCGATTATGGCTTGAAATGCGTTCCAGTCCTCAACTAAAAGAGATCAATTGAGAACACAATAGAAACAGAGACAGTCTGCAGAATACACTCTTACATTTGATATTAAGTCCTGTGTGTGTGTGTGTGTGTGTGTGTGTGTGTGTGTGTCGTACTCATGCCGTTCTTCAGTGGAGAGATGAGTTCTACACCCGCCCGTGGCACATGCAGGGCTGTGGTGTCTATGTAATAACTCCGCCCACTGTTGCTCTCTTGCTCCGCCCCCATGTCAGCTGGCCCCTCCTCTTCAGTGTTCACTCCTATAGTGGTGGGGAAATCTGCCTACACAGCAGACAGGAACCAACAGTAACCAATGATAATCATGTGATGTTCAGTACAGTCAGGCTCTAGGAACTCCAGACCTTCAGGACGATTCTCAAAGCTTTGGGTTTATGGGTCGATCATGTCAGATCAGTTTATTTATACAATACAGATTGTTTCAAAGCAGCCTTACAGTAATAAGTCCTCTGCACAATCTGACTTTGTTGCAGCCTAGAATGAAACTGATGGTCTCGTCTGGCCAGAGGAGAATGGAACACTATCTTGACACACTATTTCCCTGTTTAATACTGTAAAGCTGCTTTGACACAATCTGCATTGTAAAAAGTACTATATAAATAACGGTGACTTAACTTAATAAACAGGAAAAGAACAGTGTTCATATTGCAAAATTCATCAGTTATGAAACTAATTCAATTTCAGCTGTAAAGCAGCTCTACAGGAGATGAGTTTTGTTCTCATCTGATTTAAATTTAAAGTTAAATTGATAATATTACTGAATAATAGTTTGATGGATGATGATGATGAATGGAAATATGAATAAAAGGATGATGGATGGATGATAGATAGATGTTTGGATTCTGACGGCACCCATTCACTGCAGAGCATCCATTGCTGAGACACTGATGCAGTGCTACATTTCTACAAACCTGATGAAGAGACAAACTCATCCTAATCTTGGATTCCTCTAAGAGTGTTGATGTACTCACAGGAGCTTCAGACATCAGAACAGGGTGTAAACTGGGCTCCGATTTGATATGTTTGCTGTAGATGTGGTCGATTATGGCTTGAAATGCGTTCCAGTCCTCAACTAAAAGAGATCAATTGAGAACACAATAGAAACAGAGACAGTCTGCAGAATACACTCTTACATTTGATATTAAGTCCTGTGTGTGTGTGTGTGTGTGTGTGTGTGTGTGTGTCGTACTCATGCCGTTCTTCAGTGGAGAGATGAGTTCTACACCCGCCCGTGGCACATGCAGGGCTGTGGTGTCTATGTAATAACTCCGCCCACTGTTGCTCTCTTGCTCCGCCCCCATGTCAGCTGGCCCCTCCTCTTCAGTGTTCACTCCTATAGTGGTGGGGAAATCTGCCTACACAGCAGACAGGAACCAACAGTAACCAATGATAATCATGTGATGTTCAGTACAGTCAGGCTCTAGGAACTCCAGACCTTCAGGACGATTCTCAAAGCTTTGGGTTTATGGGTCGATCATGTCAGATCAGTTTATTTATACAATACAGATTGTTTCAAAGCAGCCTTACAGTAATAAGTCCTCTGCACAATCTGACTTTGTTGCAGCCTAGAATGAAACTGATGGTCTCGTCTGGCCAGAGGAGAATGGAACACTATCTTGACACACTATTTCCCTGTTTAATACTGTAAAGCTGCTTTGACACAATCTGCATTGTAAAAAGTACTATATAAATAACGGTGACTTAACTTAATAAACAGGAAAAGAACAGTGTTCATATTGCAAAATTCATCAGTTATGAAACTAATTCAATTTCAGCTGTAAAGCAGCTCTACAGGAGATGAGTTTTGTTCTCATCTGATTTAAATTTAAAGTTAAATTGATAATATTACTGAATAATAGTTTGATGGATGATGATGATGAATGGAAATATGAATAAAAGGATGATGGATGGATGATAGATAGATGGATGGATGGATGGATAGGTGGGTAGGTGGGTGGATGGATGGATGAGGGATGGGTGGATGGATGGATGGATGATGGATGGATGGATGATGGATGGGTGGATGGGTGGATGGATGATGGATGGGTGGATGGATGGGTGGATGGGTGGATGGATGATGGATGGGTGGATGGATGGATGGGTGGATGGATGATGGATGGGTGAATGATGGATGGGTGGATGGATGGATGGATGATGGATGGGTGGATGGTGGATAGGTGGATGGATGGATGATGGATGGGTGGATGGATGGATGGATGGATGGATGGATGGATGGATGGATGGATGGATGGATGGATGGATGGATGGATGGATGGATGGATGGATGGATGGATGGATGGATGGATGGATGGATGGATGGATGGATGGATGGATGGATGGATGGATGGATGGATGGATGGATGGATGGATGGATGGATGGATGGATGGATGGATGGATGGATGGATGGATGGATGGATGGATGGATGGATGGATGGATGGATGGATGGATGGATGGATGGATGGATGGATGGATGATGGATGGGTGGATGATGGATGGATGGATGATGAATGGGTGGATGATGGATGGATGGATGGGTGGATGGATGGATGGATGATGGATGGGTGGATGAATGGATGGATGATGGAGGGATGATGGATGGATGGGTGGATGGATGATGGATGGGTGAATGATGGATGGGTGGGTGGATGGATGGATGATGGATGGGTGGATGATGGATAGGTGGATGGATGGATGGATGGATGGAGGATGGGTGGATGGATGATGGATGGGTGGATGATGGATAGGTGGATGGATGGATGGATGGATGATGGATGGGGGGGTGG